GTTGTAATAACCTTGAATGCAAATGGTGCCTATATAGTCATTTCCATAATAGTTTTCACTGAACAATATTACCACCTATCTACATTTTTCTTAAAATCACTCTGAATGATGCACTGCTCAAATGACACAGTATACTAAGACCTCAATGTATTTAGATCTTTATTAAATTAGTCAGAGTTCTATGTTCTCATTTCTTACCTTTTTATATTAATGACTTTCATTATGCCAGGCATATGACAGAATAAAAAAAAGGGCTACAAAATGAAGTATCACATATTTTTTATTAATAGCTCTTACAGAGAAGAGCAAAGCCTGAATAAATAACAATTTCAAATTATAAATAACTCATTTTTAGTCTTCACACAGATTAGCATGCACTTGGATGCACTTTCAGATGTCTATTTGCAAAAACATTTTTTTAAATGGAAGAAATAAAGAAATATATAGTAGGAAATAAATGATAAAGCAGAACTTCTTAGGATACAGTATGCAGTTACTTACCAGCTGCAAACTTTGTGATGGGTGGAAGTCTCACTGACATGGCATTCTGAAGTCCTTTACGTTTGACTCTCTTTTTATTTATTAATCCTGGGGTTGGGGGGAGAGGGGAACATAACTATGAATCCTTCTTAAAGACAAGTGTACATAAAAGAGTAACTGTTCATTGTCATATAACTATAAAGGTCAAGATATCCCATTTAAGGCAGGGGCAAAATAAAGATGATATTACCATTATTATTTAACTGTGAAGTTAAGCCTATGTAATTAGATAAGAAAATAAACTATAAGATATAAATAACTTGAAAAAAGAATTTAAAAAAAGAATGTAAAAATATATTTTACAGATGGTATGATGGTTGGTCATACAGTCAATCAATCAAGAAAGTAATAGTAGTTTCACTGGATCAGATACACAACCAACATAAAAACAAAAAACTGTGAGTTCCCTACAATGCATCAGTATTTAACATTATCACATAACACTGCATTTAGAAATATAATGAAGAGCACACTCATAATATTAGCAAAATAAATTAGTAAATTATGTTAAAATATATAAAATACCACCAAATAATCTTAAACTTGTAGGACCAACAGGAGGAACACTAAAAAACCTCACTAAGGAACATAAAAGACAGTTTGAATGGGATACATCATATTCTTAGATATGAAGATGCTTAAAGACATCAAATCTCTCCAATTTAATTCCAAGAGGAATTATTTTGGGTATTGATTTTAAAATGACCCTGAAATTTATCTAGAAGTGGACAGATACATGAATAGCTATATTAGCTTGAAAATAAGAGTAATTATGAATAAAACTGTAAAACATTTTTGTGTAGTAAACAAAACCTGCCAAATACTGGAAAGCATGGGAAAGCATAGAGAATAAAAAGGCCCTTCTTTGCAAAAAAGATGGGACACCATTTACTTTGATGCTTTCTCTCAGCTCCCTTAATCTATAAAATTCTACAGTGTACAGATGGCTCAAGATAGATATCACTGTCTTCTGGGTGGTAGCAGATGTTTTTGCTGCCTAAGACATCTAAGTCTTTTCAATAACCTTACAACAGCACCTGAACCACTGTTACAGTAACACTGTTCTTAGGAACCTTACCACTACTCTCCCACACAAAGGTCTTTTAACTTCATCCAAGAAAATAGGACATTTATCAATGAAACTTCTGGTTGTCTCACAAAATCTTGAAATGTTTCTTTTTATATCTTACCATGTCCCAAGCTTTTGTTAAATTTTTCATGTATTGTGGAAAATGACTGAAGAGTTCCATCCTGACCTGTTGATACATATAGAAAATGCCTAATCAAGCTTCATCAGATAATGGACCATTTGAATCACAGATCTTATAAAATTAGATTCTATAAAATGCTTGACATTAAAGCTTAGGACACTTTAAAAGGAGAGCTAGATTTGCAACTACTTCATTATAATATTCAACTGTGCACAGAATGTTATTTAGTAAGAACAGAGGATAAAATGAGGTACTAATAATTTTCAGCAGATTATCAGAATAGGCAAAGGCCACATTTTCAGAATCTAACCATCCTGTTTCTAAGGATTAGTAAATAGAATAACACTAAATGAAGATAGTATCATCTACAGTATTCAAAAAGAATTGCCTCAATTACCCAGATATCCTAGTCACTCAAAGGGACATTTAAATCTAAAAGTATATAAACACATATTCATACATACAAAAATGTGTGAATAAATATTAAGCACCTGCTCTCAATATGCTAGAATTAATAGCATGAAGCAGTAAACTCACTTGCACTAAGAATTTGTTGTCCATTTTGTCCATAGTATCTGATTTTGGTAAGAGGAGCACTATGTCCCATTCTGAATCTCAAAAGCCGGCCTTCGCCTGTGGGACCATCAAATATCCATATCTGCCAAGAAATAAAAGTGTAAGGTTCTTTCACAGTGTGTGAAGTGATCTGCAAACAGCTAAGTCATCTACATTAATGATCTGGCACTGGGTAGTGCTTGCCAGGCTGCTGACCCCTGGCGAGAGGGGAAGACTGGGGGAGAGAGAAGCTATCTCTAAGTTCACTGGAATCATACAACCTGCTGTGCTTTTTGTTTCATCTGTACCAATACCTTACTCCACATTCCTATCATCTCCTAGGTTCCAGACTGATACATGGAAGCAGGCTTATAAACCCAAAGGGTAGGATGGATGAGCCAGGAAGATGGTAACAAGAAAATCATAATACCCTGAGAGCATTGTCAGCACCATTTGTGATAAGAAGTGGCTCTCTGTGGAGGAATGTCAGTCCGGCAATTGCTGTAGAATGTGCACTTCTCATCTGATTGATTAATTTTTTGTCTTCTAAATCCCAGAGTCCAATATGGCCACATGGGCTTCCAGCTGCCATTACTGGATGACCATCTGTTTTTAAAATAAAAAATTAAGAAAAACATGCAGCACAATCCAAGTGGATTTAACAATTCTTCTCTCCACCCTTTTAATCCATAAATAAAAAGCTAGAAAAAAACTACACACCAATAACCTACCTGTATGCTTTTGACTCTTTATACTGTGTATTTCATTCTGTTTACATTAAATTGCAAGAAAATATCAAGAAAATTTCTACGAGCTTCAAAGTAATACATTTTAAGTGTTCTTAACTCTTACCAATAAGTAAGTTAAGAGTTACCTGTGCGAAATGAAATCGAAGTAATAGGTCCCCAATCTTGACAGAACTTCATTAATGTGTCATCAAACTTAATGTTGTGAATGATAACATGACCTGACATAAGACCAACAGCAATGACATCCACAGCTGGTGCCTGAAAATTAAGTTACTCAACTTGTTATTTTCTTAATCAAAATAGCTTTAAAAATCTTAATGATATGCATCATTACTTACATGGTATGAAAAGAAATAATAAAATAAAAAATAAAAACAATAAGTATTACCATTCTGGCATACCATAATTACTATTTTATATAGAAATATTTAAGAATGATTTTTCCAAGTTACTTCCCAGCAGCTTCAAATCTGGTAGTCACCATTACCTCCCCCTGGCAGAAAATATTGCTGACTGGGTAAGATAACAGAAAAGGAAGTTGATGTGTGAAATCACTAGAGATCATTGACTGGATGGAAACAGAAAAAAGAGACAACTACTAGAAAACATATACAGTCCTGTCACATGCACGGCAACATAAAAGGCCAACTACAAAGGAAGTGAAGAACTGTTTATCCAAGGGAAAAAACTGGAAAACCTATAAAACATGCTAAAAGGCAAAAAACATCTACAATTAGTCTATTCCAGCTTCAATATTCTATTATTATAATCTTCACTTTATTACAATGATCTTACATACTGGTTCTATAATAAGTTTTTCTATTTTAGCACAGAATATCAATGTCCAGTAACACTATAAAATGGCATCAAGCTAAACATTTTATTAATTGCTGTCAAGTGACTACAATGCATGAGATCCTGTATAGAAGCAGAGGATACTAAAACAAGTATGATCCCTTGCCCTCAAGAAACCTAATTATCTGATACCTTTGGAGTCTTCAAAAGTAGAGCAAGACTGATGGTATTGAGAGAGGATAAAGAAATGCATATAAATTGTGCAGCTATAAGCAATGGATATTTAGAAAGACATGGTTATATATTCCAATATACATAAGATTTTCTGCAGATACACACACATTCATTCATACATGTCTGCACTGAAATAAAAGCACTTATTTTTGGGAGAGTCCAGCATTTCATTAAATATTAGGTATTAGCACCAATTCTTTAAAGCCACAACTGTCAACATCCTAACAAATTTCTGTTTGATCTATAAGCTTCCTTGCTTCCCTGAGCAACTCATCTCTACTTCTGCACAAGGTACTGGACCACATGCTTATAAAATGATTGGTAAACATGGTTCATAGCAGCCACAGGTTTAGAGGTTAATTCCAGGCAAAAAAAAATATTTACACAAATGTTTATAGGCAAAGGTGTTATTTCCAAACACTATTTTTAGGGTAATATTTATAAAGATATCTATATATTATTTTGTCTTTAAGTCTATAAATATGATTGACCCCTGAAACCAGAAGATCCTATTACTACCTGCACTTCTTCTTTGACTTAATAGAAAAATACTAACCTGCTGAAGAGCTGTCACTCCAACTTTCCATCCCAGAAATGTATATAGAAGTTTACTACAAGAAGAAAAATAGTTGAAAAGTTTTTTTTTCTTTTTTGGGGGGAGGAGAACAAAATCAACTACATAATAAAAAGTGAAATAATAACACGTAATATTTATTAAGTTCTTACTCTGCCCCACCCTATTCTAATTATACATATTATTAACTCAAAACAATCCCATGAGGTAGATATTATCACCACTTTCCAGAGAGAAAGAAACTTAATTATGTAAAATAATTAAACTAAGGTTACATGGCTAATAATTGATGGAGCCCATATAGACCAATTCCATATCCTCTGCTGCTAATAACTACTCTACCATCCCAACTCTTTAAAAAATTAAATAGAAAAAACATGAGTAAAAACCATTTTACACACTGAGTCCCCTATACAGAATTTTATTGTTGTTAACAACCATTTGATCAATAAATATGAGAGATGCCCTCTCAAAAAAAAAACAAAAAAAACCCATTTTATGTTACAGACTATAATAAAAATAACTTAGAATATAGGCAGATCTCATTTTTCACAGCAATGTGTTTCTAGAAATATATCACCAAAGAGAAAAGAACTATAATACTACTAGTATGTTATAAACTATTACATAACTCCTCTAAATTTCAGAATCAAGCCACAAATGATAAATAGTAAGTCCATGGAACAGGATATCTGAAATTGTTGTTAATGATAATATATTAAATCATGTATTAAATTCTGTGAATGCAAACAGATTAGTTCAATAATTATTCAAGGGATATTTAATATACAATAAAGAGTATAAAATCACATAAAGAACATAAAGAGATAATCTTAGAGGTAGAGACAGTATCTCAGTCTTTATCCCTGAACCTAGCACAGAGTAATTAGTGGTATTTGTTAAATTTAACAGAAAAACACTGCTTCAAAACTAAGAACTAGGGTAAACATTAACCCTTTGATAATCTTTCAAATTTAGAAGGAGTTTGGAAAGGATGGTCAAGTATTTTTGTTTGGCCTACAGCTATACAGAGACACCTGAGCTGCCACTTTTTTTCTAGATAAATGTTTAAGTAACAAGCAGGGGTATTCAAAATCATTATCTAGCCCTTCAGGTATAGTAATAATATTACAGTAGAAGTCCTAATGTTTGTGGCTGACGATGAAAGGATTTTTTCCCTGAAAACCATTCCCAAATGCTAGCAATAAATTAACAACAACTTGCCTGCCTTCTCTTACCTTCTTAGTTTATCAAAAACTAGACACTGTAATGTTTCAACCTCATAATAATTTTCTGATCTTCTCTACAACTATGTGGATTCATTAGTGTAACTTGGGCCTTTAGTACATTTTAATGAAGCTGCCTTTCATGTGCCAGGACCACATGCCAGCTTTCAGAGATGTGATGTCATGACTAACAACTCCAAAAACGTGTATTTATCGAAAGCCCTCCAAGTAAACATATAAAGCAGGGGAGAATTGAGAGACTTAAGTATACATTAGGGAGCAGTAGATGAGGATAAGGTACGAACCACTTATTTTACTTTCTAAATAAAGAGCTTACTTGGATTTTACATTCCACAACTGTAGGCTTCCTTGTTCACTGCCGAGAAGTATTTTATTCAAGTAGGTACTCGGATGCAAAATTGCAGAAATTTTAAATACTGATTTATCAAAAGTCAACTGTAGGTATTCCTCTACAACAGTAAAGTTTACAAACATGACAGTGTTTCTTATAAAACAGTTTAAAATATTTTTCATACATCCAAATATTTAGCACTTAAAGTAGGTCTACCATAGCAAAGATTTATATACTAATGTAAATCAAAGATTTATATACCAACCTAGAAACATCTGTTGAGAAATTAAACAAATGTGATGGAGGCAACCTGTAAATAATTCAGACGATCAAAAATTTCTAAAAGTTCTAATATCAAAATTATTAAAAATGTCACTCAGTGCAGAATTGCCTTACAGAAATGAAAAATGAAGATATTACAAGGGTTGGCCTTAGTATTTTTTTAATATGATCAAGAAGCAGAGTAAATGTTCCAAGTAAAGTGATTCACTGACTCTTCCAGGGAGTGAAAGGCCAAATATCTAGAGAGTTTGATGGGCCACTCAAAGATGTAAAAGATTAAGATGTAAACCTATGTGAAACTAAGAATAGTTCTCCTCACACATTTCCATAGAAAAACCTCTAAACAGAGGAGAGGAATAGAACTGAGAACCCTGTGAAGTCGGGAATGGCACAGCCAGGAGTTACTTGTTGCATGAGCAAAACATTTTTTTAAATATTACTATGCTTAAAATTCTTGTGTAAATTTTGTTTTCTACTTCATAGTTCTTTATGATGAAAATAATTTTTCATTAAGTTTCCAATAAACTGGAGTACCAAATGTGCACCTCACTTAATCTTCAGTTTCACATCCTATCTGGCACACTGCTGCACATTTCTAGGGGTATGTGTATCCCAGTTTAGGCATAGACACAGGTGGAAATTACACAAACTTTATTTTAAATACATTTTAGAGGGTCCCTGCCTCTATTTGTACCCAGCAGTTTTACTTAAAATCACTACAAACAGCTCTGTGAAGAAACTGATTTAATGTGCTGTGGCATCAGCATCAATAGAAAGCCTTCTGGACTGTGGAATCAGATTCTCTAATTTTATAAAAAGGCCTTTTAACATCCATCTGCATAGGTACTATTTTTGGAATTCTGTTCCCTCAGCTTGAGCAATGACAAAACAAAGGTGACTAATTTGATTAAGAAAATGGAATAGCTCCCTGAAGGACATTCTCTAGGATTTTTACTAAAAATAAACATACTGCATAGAACAATGATTTGATCAAGAGAAACTAAGCTAAAGATATAAATAGATTAAAAACTTATTCTTTATTCGCTATAGACCCACAATCTCTTACTGAAGAAGGCTTGGGATATTCTGGTGATAAATTCTACCCTTTGAAGGTAACATAGTCCCATAAACATAGCTCAGTGCCACTGTGTAGGAAAATTAAAGATAAAGGACACTGACTCATACCCTCAGAAAAAGGATGTATATTTTCCTTCAATTACAGGATCTGCAAGTTTTTTTGCTCCAAGTTGAAAATACAAACCAAGAATGATTCAGTTGTGAATATACACCAAATTCACAGAGAAAATAATGTAACATGTCATTATATTTGTAGATCAGTAGAAAATGTATTAGTTGGGATAAACACCTTAAATAGGTTTTAAGTAGCTCAACTGGCTGATTAAAATGCTTATCCATTTTTTTAATTAGTACCTTTTTCTTATACATGTTAAAGATTCTTACAATTTTTACTGCTTACATGTAAAACCTCTGGTATAGAAGTTGTTTACATGTTAATAATTTTAGCTACACACATACTATCCTAAGATAAAATAAATGAGTTCTTACCTTCTGAATATATGTGCCAAATAATAAGAATGCTGTCAGTATCAACAGAGATAACATGATCTCCAAAAGGTTGAAGAAGATGGATTTCTGCCTTATGACCTTTATAGGTGTGTACTACCTACAATGTAAAAGTTCAAATTAATTTATTATTCATTCATCATGTAATATTATTCATATTAACCAAGAAAACATGCTATTCCTGAAGATGCTAATGTTAAGAAATGCAGCCTAACTTTTGATTATCAAAGGTTCATTAACAAGTAGCAAGAAAGCAGGCATGTTCACCTGCTCCCGTAGCCAGTAGAATAATAAAGAAGCATGGACTAAGAACCCAGAAATGAGACTCTGAGGCTCAGCACCCCAATGGAGCTTACGGAGGAGGCTGGGTCCTCCTCACTGAATCCAACCAGCACAACTCCATATATCCTAGAAGACAGGTATGTTCTAGAAGGCCAACCTCTACAGGTTCCATCAGTAGCTGGCTTCAAGAAGAGACGGGAGAGGGTAATCTATGGTACTGTTTTCCCTAGAGCTTTCTGTTTTGACTGAGACCCTTACCCTTCCAGTAGCTGCATCCCCCAGTGAGTATAGCCCTTTTCCATGGTTTCAGTTCTCGTCAGGCTTCAATAACACTCTCTTCTCATCCCTTTGGCTCTAGGGACAGTAAGAGCTCCCTTTGGTTGACAGTCTCTGATGCCTTGTACGTCTACTATCTCCCAGGAAAAAACTGCAAACTGCAGTACTTAAAAAAAAAGACAGATATTTTTCTGACTTTCTAAAAATCAAAACAACTCCCACTAAAGAACTCCCCAAGTAAATTGCCTTCTTCCGCCATACGTAGTAATGATGGAACACTTTGGAAACAAACACCAGTCCAAGCCAAACTTTGACAAATACAGTGATTCTCTCAGGTGGCTAACTAGGCCTCTGCACTGCCACTTTCCCTTTCATTCTGGACCAGCAGAGCCAGGTTATCATTTAAGTTAGTTGTCTCAAGACAAACTTAGAAACTAACTGGTAGACTATGACAAGAAAAGATCCCTCCTTAGCAGTGTAGAAAACAGAATCTAGCTTTCTCTACACAAGGAACAAGCACTTGGCTCTTAAAAAAGGAGTTACTTGCTAAGTTGTTTATAATGAAAAACCTAATCCAAATAAAACAGTGGTACAAAAGTGAGCCTCTTTTTAAAATTCACATAACTAAATCACAACAAAATACAAAGAAAACTCTTGAGATGTGACCTGACTGGGCATGAAAATTTTGAAGAAGCTGCCCAATAATTCTGACATTCACCCTGTCAAAGAAAACCAAACTAATGCACCAGTTTTGACCAGTTTTGAGAATTTGGTAAAAATCTACCCTCTCTTCCTGAAGAAAAATAGTAACATGTTAAAAAAAGAAAAAGAGCACATGTTCAGAGTGTCCCAGATGAAGAATGGCAACATTATAGTTCCCTCACTATCATGACAATCAACTACTGTCTGTAAAAGATAAAAAAATTAAACAGTTAAATGTCACAAACCTCTTTATTACGGGCAAATGCAGAGAAAATATTCCCATAAGCAGCAAAGACTAGCCTTCCATCAGCTGCCATACAGCAGATATCCTGTGGAAGAGAGTTACCTAGGAAAAAAAGAAATATAAAAGAAATAAGGATTTGTAAGATAGAAACTTCAAGTATATGTATAACATTATTCATTGCTATTATTTTAGAATATACATATATATAAATGAAAGCTGAGAATCAGTATAAAATTTTGACTTCAATGTTTTTTAGATACTTAATAATAACGATCAGACTGAGAATACGAAATCACCTTGACCTTCTTTAAGAGAATTAATGTCTAGTATTTGCAGAAATAAAATAATAAAGAAATGAAGAGCTTTTTGAGGTTATTTGGAAAAAATCCTCACTTAATATTCAAAACACTAGCAGACAGCCATCCATCCAGCCTTCATGTGAATGCCTTCAGTAACACTAAGTTCATTACTGACACCAGGAAAATTTTAGAAGTAAATCAAAACCTAGAACCCTGCCTAACTCTACTTTTGGAGTAACCACAAAAAAAAAGTTAACAACCATTTGATCAATAAATATGAGAGATGCCCTCTCAAAAAAAAAACAAAAAAAACCCATTTTATGTTACAGACTATAATAAAAATAACTTAGAATATAGGCAGATCTCATTTTTCACAGCAATGTGTTTCTAGAAATATATCACCAAAGAGAAAAGAACTATAATACTACTAGTATGTTATAAACTATTACATAACTCCTCTAAATTTCAGAATCAAGCCACAAATGATAAATAGTAAGTCCATGGAACAGGATATCTGAAATTGTTGTTAATGATAATATATTAAATCATGTATTAAATTCTGTGAATGCAAACAGATTAGTTCAATAATTATTCAAGGGATATTTAATATACAATAAAGAGTATAAAATCACATAAAGAACATAAAGAGATAATCTTAGAGGTAGAGACAGTATCTCAGTCTTTATCCCTGAACCTAGCACAGAGTAATTAGTGGTATTTGTTAAATTTAACAGAAAAACACTGCTTCAAAACTAAGAACTAGGGTAAACATTAACCCTTTGATAATCTTTCAAATTTAGAAGGAGTTTGGAAAGGATGGTCAAGTATTTTTGTTTGGCCTACAGCTATACAGAGACACCTGAGCTGCCACTTTTTTTCTAGATGAATGTTTAAGTAACAAGCAGGGGTATTCAAAATCATTATCTAGCCCTTCAGGTATAGTAATAATATTACAGTAGAAGTCCTAATGTTTGTGGCTGACGATGAAAGGATTTTTTCCCTGAAAACCATTCCCAAATGCTAGCAATAAATTAACAACAACTTGCCTGCCTTCTCTTACCTTCTTAGTTTATCAAAAACTAGACACTGTAATGTTTCAACCTCATAATAATTTTCTGATCTTCTCTACAACTATGTGGATTCATTAGTGTAACTTGGGCCTTTAGTACATTTTAATGAAGCTGCCTTTCATGTGCCAGGACCACATGCCAGCTTTCACAGATGTGATGTCATGACTAACAACTCCAAAAACGTGTATTTATCGAAAGCCCTCCAAGTAAACATATAAAGCAGGGGAGAATTGAGAGACTTAAGTATACATTAGGGAGCAGTAGATGAGGATAAGGTACGAACCACTTATTTTACTTTCTAAATAAAGAGCTTACTTGGATTTTACATTCCACAACTGTAGGCTTCCTTGTTCACTGCCGAGAAGTATTTTATTCAAGTAGGTACTCGGATGCAAAATTGCAGAAATTTTAAATACTGATTTATCAAAAGTCAACTGTAGGTATTCCTCTACAACAGTAAAGTTTACAAACATGACAGTGTTTCTTATAAAACAGTTTAAAATATTTTTCATACATCCAAATATTTAGCACTTAAAGTAGGTCTACCATAGCAAAGATTTATATACTAATGTAAATCAAAGATTTATATACCAACCTAGAAACATCTGTTGAGAAATTAAACAAATGTGATGGAGGCAACCTGTAAATAATTCAGACGATCAAAAATTTCTAAAAGTTCTAATATCAAAATTATTAAAAATGTCACTCAGTGCAGAATTGCCTTACAGAAATGAAAAATGAAGATATTACAAGGGTTGGCCTTAGTATTTTTTTAATATGATCAAGAAGCAGAGTAAATGTTCCAAGTAAAGTGATTCACTGACTCTTCCAGGGAGTGAAAGGCCAAATATCTAGAGAGTTTGATGGGCCACTCAAAGATGTAAAAGATTAAGATGTAAACCTATGTGAAACTAAGAATAGTTCTCCTCACACATTTCCATAGAAAAACCTCTAAACAGAGGAGAGGAATAGAACTGAGAACCCTGTGAAGTCGGGAATGGCACAGCCAGGAGTTACTTGTTGCATGAGCAAAACATTTTTTTAAATATTACTATGCTTAAAATTCTTGTGTAAATTTTGTTTTCTACTTCATAGTTCTTTATGATGAAAATAATTTTTCATTAAGTTTCCAATAAACTGGAGTACCAAATGTGCACCTCACTTAATCTTCAGTTTCACATCCTATCTGGCACACTGCTGCACATTTCTAGGGGTATGTGTATCCCAGTTTAGGCATAGACACAGGTGGAAATTACACAAACTTTATTTTAAATACATTTTAGAGGGTCCCTGCCTCTATTTGTACCCAGCAGTTTTACTTAAAATCACTACAAACAGCTCTGTGAAGAAACTGATTTAATGTGCTGTGGCATCAGCATCAATAGAAAGCCTTCTGGACTGTGGAATCAGATTCTCTAATTTTATAAAAAGGCCTTTTAACATCCATCTGCATAGGTACTATTTTTGGAATTCTGTTCCCTCAGCTTGAGCAATGACAAAACAAAGGTGACTAATTTGATTAAGAAAATGGAATAGCTCCCTGAAGGACATTCTCTAGGATTTTTACTAAAAATAAACATACTGCATAGAACAATGATTTGATCAAGAGAAACTAAGCTAAAGATATAAATAGATTAAAAACTTAAATTCTTTATTCACTATAGACCCACAATCTCTTACTGAAGAAGGCTTGGGATATTCTGGTGATAAATTCTACCCTTTGAAGGTAACATAGTCCCATAAACATAGCTCAGTGCCACTGTGTAGGAAAATTAAAGATAAACTGACTCATACCCTCAGAAAAAGGATGTATATTTTCCTTCAATTACAGGATCTGCAAGTTTTTTTGCTCCAAGTTGAAAATACAAACCAAGAATGATTCAGTTGTGAATATACACCAAATTCACAGAGAAAATAATGTAACATGTCATTATATTTGTAGATCAGTAGAAAATGTATTAGTTGGGATAAACACCTTAAATAGGTTTTAAGTAGCTCAACTGGCTGATTAAAATGCTTATCCATTTTTTTAATTAGTACCTTTTTCTTATACATGTTAAAGATTCTTACAATTTTTACTGCTTACATGTAAAACCTCTGGTATAGAAGTTGTTTACATGTTAATAATTTTAGCTACACACATACTATCCTAAGATAAAATAAATGAGTTCTTACCTTCTGAATATATGTGCCAAATAATAAGAATGCTGTCAGTATCAACAGAGATAACATGATCTCCAAAAGGTTGAAGAAGATGGATTTCTGCCTTATGACCTTTATAGGTGTGTACTACCTACAATGTAAAAGTTCAAATTAATTTATTATTCATTCATCATGTAATATTATTCATATTAACCAAGAAAACATGCTATTCCTGAAGATGCTAATGTTAAGAAATGCAGCCTAACTTTTGATTATCAAAGGTTCATTAACAAGTAGCAAGAAAGCAGGCATGTTCACCTGCTCCCGTAGCCAGTAGAATAATAAAGAAGCATGGACTAAGAACCCAGAAATGAGACTCTGAGGCTCAGCACCCCAATGGAGCTTACGGAGGAGGCTGGGTCCTCCTCACTGAATCCAACCAGCACAACTCCATATATCCTAGAAGACAGGTATGTTCTAGAAGGCCAGCCTCTACAGGTTCCATCAGTAGCTGGCTTCAAGAAGAGACGGGAGAGGGTAATCTATGGTACTGTTTTCCCTAGAGCTTTCTGTTTTGACTGAGACCCTTACCCTTCCAGTAGCTGCATCCCCCAGTGAGTATAGCCCTTTTCCATGGTTTCAGTTCTCGTCAGGCTTCAATAACACTCTCTTCTCATCCCTTTGGCTCTAGGGACAGTAAGAGCTCCCTTTGGTTGACAGTCTCTGATGCCTTGTACGTCTACTATCTCCCAGGAAAAAACTGCAAACTGCAGTACTTAAAAAAAAAGACAGATATTTTTCTGACTTTCTAAAAATCAAAACAACTCCCACTAAAGAACTCCCCAAGTAAATTGCCTTCTTCCGCCATACGTAGTAATGATGGAACACTTTGGAAACAAACACCAGTCCAAGCCAAACTTTGACAAATACAGTGATTCTCTCAGGTGGCTAACTAGGCCTCTGCACTGCCACTTTCCCTTTCATTCTGGACCAGCAGAGCCAGGTTATCATTTAAGTTAGTTGTCTCAAGACAAACTTAGAAACTAACTGGTAGACTATGACAAGAAAAGATCCCTCCTTAGCAGTGTAGAAAACAGAATCTAGCTTTCTCTACACAAGGAACAAGCACTTGGCTCTTAAAAAAGGAGTTACTTGCTAAGTTGTTTATAATGAAAAACCTAATCCAAATAAAACAGTGGTACAAAAGTGAGCCTCTTTTTAAAATTCACATAACTAAATCACAACAAAATACAAAGAAAACTCTTGAGATGTGACCTGACTGGGCATGAAAATTTTGAAGAAGCTGCCCAATAATTCTGACATTCACCCTGTCAAAGAAAACCAAACTAATGCACCAGTTTTGACCAGTTTTGAGAATTTGGTAAAAATCTACCCTCTCTTCCTGAAGAAAAATAGTAACATGTTAAAAAAAGAAAAAGAGCACATGTTCAGAGTGTCCCAGATGAAGAATGGCAACATTATAGTTCCCTCACTATCATGACAATCAACTACTGTCTGTAAAAGATAAAAAAATTAAACAGTTAAATGTCACAAACCTCTTTATTACGGGCAAATGCAGAGAAAATATTCCCATAAGCAGCAAAGACTAGCCTTCCATCAGCTGCCATACAGCAGATATCCTGTGGAAGAGAGTTACCTAGGAAAAAAAGAAATATAAAAGAAATAAGGATTTGTAAGATAGAAACTTCAAGTATATGTATAACATTATTCATTGCTATTATTTTAGAATATACATATATATAAATGAAAGCTGAGAATCAGTATAAAATTTTGACTTCAATGTTTTTTAGATACTTAATAATAACGATCAGACTGAGAATACGAAATCACCTTGACCTTCTTTAAGAGAATTAATGTCTAGTATTTGCAGAAATAAAATAATAAAGAAATGAAGAGCTTTTTGAGGTTATTTGGAAAAAATCCTCACTTAATATTCAAAACACTAGCAGACAGCCATCCATCCAGCCTTCATGTGAATGCCTTCAGTAACACTAAGTTCATTACTGACACCAGGAAAATTTTAGAAGTAAATCAAAACCTAGAACCCTGCCTAACTCTACTTTTGGAGTAACCACAAAAAAAAATTCCATGATATTCTACATGCTGTCCTTAAAATGAACAATATGGTTTCCACTCAGTCTTCTCCAAAATGAATAAGCCTATCACCTCTAACAATTTCTCATATGATTCCTTGATTCTTCTTTCACTATCACGATCACAAGGGACTTTGTTTTTTATTTCCTGTTTTAGGGGCAGGAGGGTTGGAAGACAGAAGACTGTTTCAAGTATTTTTCAGGCTGCATATTCTACTTTGGGATATCATTTCCAAAATACTAGTTATCATTCACTTTTGTATTCCATTTAGGTTATAGGGACCTTCTTCTGCCTTCTACAATCTTTTAAAAAATGTAAGTTTATCAGACATACACACTGGACACCTTAGAGTTCTCCTCTGTTTCTCTCATAAAGATAATAATTGATGGAAACTAGAACCTCTCAGCCCTGCAAGTCCTTTATTCTATTACACAGTTTTCAAAAAAATAAATATTCCCTCCACTGGAAAAAATATCAAAATGTGGGAAAAGGAAAAACTCTTCCTCACAGTAGAAAGAATGAGATATCAGCAAATCACTATTTGATAATCATCATATTAATAACTGGTTCAGGAAAGAATCATCAAATAGTAAAAACAGTGAAACTGTTGAAGAGTAATACGGTATTTACATAGCCTCAATGTATCTTACAAGATAATTATTAATTACAAAGGGTAAAACTTTAAAGTGGAGCCTCCTGACAAAGGTCACCTCAACCAATAATCAAAGTTATTACTGCCAGGAATACAACTAAACAACAGCGTATGCCTCCTGATATGATTCACTGAGAAGTCAATATTATTTCTTTGTTATCTCTGCCATAGTTCATAGCCTGAATCTAATCATAAGGAAACATTAAAAATTAAAAATTCAAATTGTAGGACATTCTAAAAAAGAACTAGCCTATATTCTTCAAAAATGTCAATGATGTGAAACACAAAGAAAATCTGATGAACTATTCCAGATTACTGAACACTGAAGAGACATGATAAATGAAAGCGACATATATCCTGTTCTGGCTCTCCGCCTCCACCACCATGTAAGTTTATCAGAAATACACACTGGATTCCTTCTCTGTTCTGTAAGTCTTTAAATGTAAGTCAAAATTTAAGAAATTTTTAAGAGCTATAAATATGTATAAATTCAGGATAAAGTCTACACTTACTTACTGCAACCAGACTAAGTTTCTGAACCTGTTTAAAAAAAAGAAAAAATATATTAAATACATTTTCTTTAACAAAAAACAATTAAAATAATCTAATACTTTGTGATTAACATATGAACTCATACATAAATTTACTATGCTGCACTTTCTAAAAAAAAAAAAAAAGGAAGATCGTGACCCTAGTTTTTATTATTTAAAAGCTTGTATTTTCAACTATTTCATCAGAAGTGGTGATGGAAAGAGAAGGCAAATGTTTTCTGTAATGAGCCATGTAGAAAATATTTATTATAAGGCTTTGCAGGCTCTGTGGTCTTTGTTGCAACTACTCAACTGTTAATGAACCATGAAAGCAGCACATTTAATACAAATGTGCATGGCTATATTCCATAAGCTTGATTTATGGTTACAGACATTTGTTTTTCATGTAATTTTCATATACCATGAAATATTATTCTTTCAGGTTTTCCCCAACCATTAAAAAATGTGAAATCTGCCCATCACAGAAGCACAGAGCTCAGAAGGATATAAATGGGAATGCAAAGCCCAGGGATGCAAGACCGCTAAGTCTTGAAAGGGTCCTAGGGGATCAAATTAGGTATCATATATTTCTTAAATAGAAGTGGATGTATGTCTCCATGTCACACCAAAATTTAATTAGACTGCATCCTACTACTGTGCAAATTTTACTTGGAGATTGCTATTATATTATAGAATAAACACAAACGTATGGAAAAAATTAAAATGTCACGGATTATACAAAAACAGTGGGCAGGACTGGCTTGCAGGCTGTAGTTTCCTGAGCTCAGTCTATGGTTACCGATCCAGCTGTGTGACCTTGAGTAAGCTACTCAACCTCCTATGCCTCGAATTCTTCATTTGTAAAGTAAGGGTTAAAACAGATGCCTATTTTATGGGATCATTTTGAGTATTCAATGAATAAAAGTTGTCTGAAACAGTTAGAATGGAGTCATAAAGTTAATGCTCAGTAAATGTTAGCCCCCACCACTACCTCCACCTTGGGCACAGCTCTCACTTTCCTGTTACACTAACTCAACAGCTACCAACAACCAGCCCTTCTCGCTAATAACCCATGTGATTTTCACACTCCTTCAAGAAATGCAACTTTATAGCATGGATTACAGAAAAAATGCTTAACACTGGCTGTTATCCTCATCAAGAAAAAGTCTCTACTTTCCCAGATCATACATTCCTTTGGAGAAGACCAAAGAACAAATAAACAGCAACAAAAGACTATTTCAATGACTGATGAGATATTAAAGGAGAAAAACTATCACTAACAAGCAGGAAGCCTATGGGCAAGTAATTTAGTTATTTCTAAGATTTTGTTTTTTAATTTATATAAGAGTGCTACGGATTGACATATACCTTCCAAAGAGATCGCTACAAGGCTTACAGTAAGTGGCATCGTGCCAGACCCTTAACGTTGATAGAAAATAGATGCTCAGAGATAGTTAAGGGAAAATTGGTTTGTTATCAAGTGCAGACAGTCCCCTAAATCATGATTAATTTCAACCCCTCCAGTTCTCCCAATATATTTTAGCCTTAATTTCTAAACCAGCTTGGGTCACGAATTGCACAATAAAATGGCATTCAAGTCTTTCTCATGAAGAATGCGGAAGCTACGGAATTGTTTTAGTCACATTTCCATCTTCAAGAGAAGTTCAGCAAACATTTAGTTAACAACTATATTGCCAAGACCTGAAATGTATTTTCCCCTAGCCAGACTGCCTCCGAAACTCGCCCCAAGCGGACTGCAAGGGCTAAATAAGCACGTTTATGAGATGCGCTGGCGAAATAGGACAGGAAAGGGTTAAGAAAGAGAACGACAGAAATAAATGCTAGGTAGGTGGCGGAGGAGAGCGGGACTGCCCCGGGACAGAACTGGGGGCCGGAGAGGGTGGTTCCCGGCAAGCGGGAGAAAGAAGTCACTCACGTCATACGTGTGGAAGCTTTTGCCCACGCAGGTCGTCACATAGAATCTGCGCTTCACAGTACTGAACCGCACCGCGTGTGGAATGTCGTTGCTGAAAAGCCCCAACGCCCGGAACCCTGCAAAAAGAGCGCTGGCTGTGCGTCCTCCAACGCCTCGATCCATCACTGGCGCAGTCCCAGTTTCTCTGCGGTCCAGACCCGATGGAAACCAGGCACCCAACCCCTCTGCGCGTCTCGTTGTCTCAAGGCTCGGCCGGGGTTTGCCGTTCACAAGCGCTTCCGGTGTCCGTTGCCAATCGCGTCAGCGGAGACTGCCCTTAGTGCAATTGCTCCGTGCGGAGCTCGCAGGGTAGGCGCAACTTCAGTTCCGCGGGCTACGGTAGCGAAACTCCTCAGGTCGGGTAGGGCTGGAAGAAACTGAAGTCACTTTTTTGAGGGACGTTGGGGGAGGGGAGCGAGATGTCCTGGAGGATGAAAGCAACCAAAGTTTTAACCCACACGGAGTCAAGTTAAACGTGTGATTATGAAAATGCATAAAACTACGAGATCATCGAGAAAATTTGAACACTGACTGCATATTTGATATTAAGAAAATGATTGATTTTAACTATGTGATAGTGGTATTATGCTTTTAAAGATCCTTATCTTTTGGAGATACATATCGACATATTTAAGAAAGAAATTATACAGCTAGGGTTTTGTTTTAAAAATAATTGGGGATGAGATGCAGGGTTTAGATTAAACAAAATTGTTGATTGCTGAATCTGGGTAAATTCGTGTGGGTAAAATTGGACCATTTCCAGAATCTCTCGCCTGGCTTTAGTGCATCTCCGTATCAATAGGTGTTTCCAAGGGGTGGAGAGAAGTAGCCCATCTCCGTATCAATAGGTAATTACATGGGGGAGCATATCTGGACCGGAGAGGTTGAGTGAGGTCCCTTTTTGCAGTCCGGTTGTGAGAGACGGGTAAGCCCAAGTGGACAACTTATAAGCAATAAACGTGTTTCTCCCACTTTATTTTTCCCTTTGACCGATTTCAGTTCAAAGCTTTTTGCCAAAGGGCTCCGAAAATATCCCCCCCAGAGTTACAATGGGTATGTGAGAGTTCATAATAATATCCTTATGCAAATTGAAATTTCCCATTGTGGGTAAAATTGTAACATTTCCAGAATATCTTGCCTGACTTTAGTATATCTGCATATCAAAAGGCGTTCAGAGGTGGAAAGAAGTGTGGCTTTAGTGCATTTGCATCTTTCCTCAGGGGTGGAGAAGTTCATCTCCATATCAATAGGTAATTACCTGGGCAACAGAGGGCTTATAAGTACCTGAGAGGTGAGGGGGAGGGCCGATGTGGTTGCTGCTGGAGTAGAGAAGAAAGATGGACTGGGACTGCAGTTTGTAAACAATAAACGGGTTTTTTTTTTCTCCCTTTGACTGATTTTGGTTTTTAGAGGTATTTTGCCCCAGGATTTCCTTTCCCTGGACTGACAATTGGCGTAGTATTGGCAGGATTCCTCCGAACCCGAAATCTGTTATAATGGGTGCTGTAAGGCTGGAAGCCCTGGAGGGAGGGGTGAGCTCCTCCGACACTGATGACGTGCCAAAGTCCCCGGCTGCTGCCCCTCCCAACCTGAAAAATGTGCCTTAGGCTAGCCAATCCTCGGCCGCTGTAAATCTATGCTCTGCCTCCCCCTACCTTCTTTAAAAACTCACTGCCTGCCCTGCTGGGCGCGACTTCACCAGCCTGTGTCTGTGCAGACTGGTGAACCTTGCCCAGGATTGCGCTCAAATAGACTGCCTGGCCTTTTGTTGCCTCTCGTCGCCTGCTTATTTTGGTTAGAATTTATCTTACAGGTGCGACCTTTGGGAGAGCCGCCCCTAGAAATGATGGGGAAAAGTGGCACTCGTGCCGAGGGACATGTATCTACACTCATGTGGTCGTGGAGGTGCCACCACCGCTGCTGGCCACACCGACCCCGGCCTGTGGCCCGAGCCTAAGGCTACTGCTTCTGCCACTGCTGCTGCTCTTGCTGCCGGCCGGAGCCTGGCCACAACCATGGAAAGGAGCAGAGGTCCGGGTCACCTTGATAGAGAAGCAACTGGCTGCTGTGTACCATGTCTTGCTGGCTACAGAGCCCATTGCCAGAACAGCTCCGACCAAGGTAATAACCTCCTAACCCATCATGGGGTGGGTGCGAGACTCGACCCAAAGGCCATGGAGTGGCGTGGCACAAGCACCTCAAAAGACAATGTGGGCCCATTGGTGTAGTTTGTCTTTCACCTTTGAAGAAGACAGCTAAGCCTGGAAGGAGTGCCCTGCACGTTGTGCAGATCAGCAAACCACCAAGAGGGGCCTAAAGCGTCTCTCTGCAGCCTATGGTCGGTCGCCGGTTACTGAGAGCGATAGAGGTACCCACTTTATTCGACATGTGTCGCAAGGATGGGTACAGCAATTAGGAGTAAAATGGACGTGGCCCTGGACATTTCAGCACATGGACCGGCGATGACTTGTTCTGGCACCTTGGGGAAAAGGCCTGGAAGCTGGCCTTCTGTGTATTTCTGTAATAACAGAAAATTGGCCCTCGACAATCATGGTTATTTGCTTCTACGGTCTTTGTGTCCTGGATGCGTTCCCTGGCTGCTGCTGCCACGTGATGGCTGGAATGGACGAGTTTTGGACTTAATCTGCATGGGACTTTGAACCTAGCTGAATCCTCTGGCTTGAGAATTATGATTGTGTTGCTGCTGTCAAGAAAATAATGTTTAAAGAGAGGCTTAACTTTGTCTAATGTTGGGTAAAAGTTTTGTGAGCAATCTAGCATGATTGTTAGGAATGAGTAAACAAATGTAGAAATGTATTTTTGTACTTAGTGAGAGATTGTGCTGTAAAGTAACTGTAAGAATAGAAATAGGTTAGTGTAAGAGTATCCATCTTAAGGGCCTAGAAGCCATTTTTCTGAGTGTATGTGACTTAAAAAGAAAAACAGGAACTGGGTAAGGCTTTGAAAAACAAGTTAATCAATCATGAGCACTGGAATCAGGCAGTGGTGACCCCTGGTCAGCTAGCCTTGATCAGTTAATCCTACATACCAAGCTTATCATGCGGAACTGCCCTGACAATTGAGGAGTGGTCTTATCTTGCTCCTGCCTAACCCCAGGGTGTATGTCTTGCAAGAATAATGTATAGCTGTGGGAAATTACTATGAGTTAAGTGCTTTGAAAATGCTATATAAACCCTTGGCTTTGAGTGCTCGGGGTCCTTGTTGAAACCCGCTGTGTCGGGCAGACACTTGGACCCCAGCTAGCTGGAATAATAATAAACCTCTTGCTTGTTGCATCGATCTGCCGTGGCCTTCGTCTCCTCACTGGGGGGAAGCGCAGACCGGAATAAGGCCATTGGGTCTTACATAACCTAGCTGAATTCTCTGGTTTGAGAATTATGATTGTGTTGCTGTTGTCAAGAAAATAATGTTTAAAGAGAGGCTTGACTTTGTTCTAATGTTTGGTAAAAGTTTTGTGAGCAATCTAGCATGATTGTTAGGAATGAGTAAACAAGTGTAGAAATGTATTTTGTGCTTAGTGAGAGATTGTGCTGTAAAGTACATTTGCTTAATCTGCATGGGCTGAATCCTCTGGCTTGAGGATTATCAAGATTTTATTGCTGTTACTACTGCATGTTACTAGATTGGTTGGAAGAGGGGGATTGAGTAAATCGTAAGGTGAGATTTCTGTAGGGGTGTATTGTGGGTAAAATTATAACATTTCCAGAATATCTTGCCTGGCTTTAGTATATCTGCATATCAATAGGCATTCAGAGGTGGAAAGAAGTATGGCTTTAGTTCATTTGCATCTGTGGAGAAGTTCATCTCCATATCAGTGGGTGATTATCTGGGCAACAGAGGGCTTATCTGTACCTGAGAGGTGAGAGGGAAGGCCAGTATAGTTGCTGCTAGAGCAGAGAAGAAAGATGGCCTGGGACTGCAGTTTGTGAGCAATAAACAGATTTTAAACTTTATTTCTCCCTTTGACTGATTTTGGTTTTTAGAGGTATTTTGCCCCAGGATTTCCTTTCCCTGGGCTGACGCCCGTAATGGAAAGATTTTTTTGTTTGCTTTTTACTGTTTGTTCATAATAAAAAAAAATTGTATAATTAATGGTTATTAATTTTTTATCTTTGAATTCTGAAAATATGTACAAATGATTTAAATTACTTGATAAACATTTTAAAGAATTTTCTGAAGTGTGTGCAATCCAGATGTTGCTTTTATAATCAGAAATAAAGACTTCTGCATATATTCATAGCTTGGGAAGAAAATAGAATGAGTTTCCCTACTGGGACTTTCCAGCTCACAAAGGCCTTTGACATCCATTATCTTAATATAATCCTCAAATTAAGGCCATGAGGTGTTTAGGGAAAAAATTATATTGCTGCTTTACAAAGAGGAACTGGTTCACTGGAGTTAAGTGATTTGCCAAAAGTTCCAAGATTATTTAGTGCTAGAATCAGACTAGCACAAGGCTTAGAAAAGAAGAAGAGGGAGAGCTCGTTTAAGGGCAGCTGGAAGTTGGAAAAAATATGCATTCAGCAATCCAAGACCAAACCTTGGACCACATGATGGGTGTGGAATCACATTAGATAAGGAACCTGAGGTTCCCAGAGATAACCTAACTTGTCCACAGTCAATTAATCAGTGTAGCACTTTTAATTTAGGCCTGACTGATTTATGTTCTTTGACTATCTGGACGGTGGGGCGAAAGTTTGAAAATTAAAACTCTTGGAAGACCTATTGGTATGGTAGCAGTAGATACGCATGTTAGCTGTTGTGCTGTGATCTTTCAAAGAGAGAATGTTGGGGGCTGATTGTGGGTTTTCCAGTTTTAATAGCTGGCCAGAGTTCCTTTCTCCCCATCAGTTTCCTCCCTGTGTTACCTTCTATTCAGCTGCCAGGACAGTGTGCGAATGTGTGGTGGGAGAAAAGGAACTAGCTATTAATCTTTTTTACTTAAAAATGCCCCCAAGGCTGTGAGCATGAAATTAGAATAAAATAAAAGGTGAATGTAGTAGATCATTGACAAAGATCACTTTCAGTTTGATTCAATTCCTTGGGCCTTCATAATATTCATGAAAATTGAATCTATAGCTATGCCATGTTGTCATTTACAGCTTTAAAAAAAAGTAAAATATGACTTCTGAGTAGTTGATATAACAAAGACCATTTCTTTTCAGTTACTGACTTCATGTGTTGTGATCACCAGCCTCCAAGATGGCCCTCAATGATCCTCAAGTCCTGGCATTCATGTCCTTATGTAGTGCCCTCTCATATTGAACATAGGGCTTATCTGTGTAACCAGGTTAGGTCATAAAAAACATTGAAGATTTTGACTTTCTCCTTCTTGGGTTATTCTGCAGGAAATCAACTGCCATGCTGGGAGGATACCCAAAGCAGTCCTGTGGAGTGTTTCACATGGCAAGGAACTAAGGGTCCCCTGCCAACCACCAGCACTGGCTTGCTAGACATGTGAGTAAAGCACCTGAAAAGCAGATCCGCCAGTTCCAGTCAGGCCTTCAGGTGACTGCAGCCATGCTGACATCTTGACTGCAACTTCAAGATAATAGGGGAGGTGTATCAGAATATTTCAAAAATGAGAAACTGATTTTCCTTAGAACATTCTTGTTTTACCCCTCCTCATCCTCCTCATACCCCTAATACCTTTTCTTTTTGTGTTGGTAAGAAATGTTTGGATCAGAAGCACAAAGAAACAAGCAATCTGAAAAGCACAATGAGTCTGCCTAGTCTCTGGGGTGGGGGGAGGTGGGGAGAATGAGAGGAATGTGGGATTCCTTCTAGAACTAAAGGGGAAGCTAGAGAACCATGTTTCAGAAGGGACAAGGACCAGACCAGCTCCTACTAATCTGTTCCTTTACTCTCCTTGCTCCTGCCACCTTGAGGCTGCTCCTTGGTAATCAGGGAAGTGAAAAAAAACACTGTATTTAAGGTGCTACTCTTTGTAGGACTCTTGATTGTAAAATGCCTTCTGTTTCATGTAGCTTGACTAACTCTTGATACCTTTCAAGTGCCAGCTCAAGTCCTACCTCCTTTGCAAATTCTGACTTTTCAACCCAAAAACAGGTCTCCTTCCTCTGAATTCCTGAATACCACTTCACTTAGTGCTTGCTTTCTGTGACAGACTTACATCCTTTTCATTTTTAGTTAATAGAGTCTGCATTATTTTCATATAGCATATGGCTCCATGGTTCAGTAGGGACTAGCCCCCTCCCCAGCTCCTGTGGGGCAAATTTTAATTATTGTAAGCTAATTGTGATAATTGATGTTTTTCTTGCCAGTAATTAGTTTAGGCAAAGGCTTGAGATATAATTCTGTCCAACAAGATTTTAGATGTCTTTTGATAGGCTCTAGAAAAGGTCTCTCTCTCTTTTTAACAGATGGATGCAACCATTCCAAGGACAATTTAGAGAAACAAAATGTCAAGTCAAGAAGAAAAGTGAGGAAGGAAAACCTTTTTCAGAAACCCTGCAGCAGACTTACCTTAGGTCCTATTGACCAAAAGTGTATTGTATGCTCTGTATACTCTTGTTTTAGTGGCAAAGATGGCTGGAAAACAACTATTTGGCATTTTTAGCATCTCTAGAGGTGGGTGGTCTCTGCTACCACCACAAAGCAACCTTCAAGCATAAATAAGATTTTTTTCCCTTGTTTTCTTGAATGTTTCAATCCAGTGAGTCTAAAAAACATCCAACGCAGAGATGCCATTCATAATAGGTAAACATGGAAGTAGGGCTCCTTATTTTTTCACAGAACAAGATCTTAGGTGAAGAGTTCTTTGTTCTATCTTTTCATACTATCTTCTCTCAGTAAATTAAAACTCATAGTTTTGAACTTAAATGACAAAAAACAAAAAGCTCCTTCTAAACATTCAATCCTTTGTTCTATGAAAATCTGTAATGGACTTTTATTGATTTTCCCTCTTGGTATTTCCCCTGCTCCTTTTTTGAAAATGATACCAATCAAAATTGCAAGTTATTTTTGGAAATTCTTATCATAGAATTGATAATAACTTCTAAAACTCTCAGTTTTACAAAAGCTTTCCAACCAAAACCACTTCCCAAACTAGATTTCTAGTGGCAGAGAGAAAAGATAAAACTTAGGATGATTTACTTAAGTCCACATATTTCATAGGAAAGCCAGATTATTCTTGTGAAAATTTACAATATGATGTTTCATCAAGTCAGATTTTTTGGAATAGTTAATGACAAAGAATGATCTCTCCTTATGTGTGGGTGCCAGGGTGAGAGAGCACCTTCTTTCCCAAAGCCTCCTATTGATAATATGAAAAGCATTCTTTACTGTTGCATTTTTTTATGACCAGACTCTGAGATTTCATTAGTCAGCATTAGCAGCACAAAGATGATATGTAGTTCAATTCACTTGCAGAAATGGATAAGGAATTGAATATGATTTTTCCCTTTTGTTTTCTCTTTCTAGTCAAAATGTATTAATTAAACTTATGAAAGATGAAAAAAGCTTTTGCAGTTGCCATTCTTTTTCACACCAAACACTTAGTTAAGAACAGAACACTGCTTTGCAGACATGATATTGCATTCCGACTCACTAGCTCACAGCAAGCATTTTTACTTGTTGAAGCAAAATTATTCCTAACTCCAAATTTCACTTGCAGTATTAGTTTTCATTCACTGGTTTTAATAGCCAGATTAATGCAAATGTGCCTAATAAAGACAGGGGTCACACTAGCAGATCAGCATGGCCCAAGTGTGTGCCAGCAGTGTTGCTATGGTGGTGATTGTTCATGAGGGCAGCCAGGGAGAACTCTCTGGACTGGCTTTGCCTTCTCCCAGGCTATATAGGAGATCTGCAGAAACACAGGTGTGTTCATTCAGATAGACATCTGAATCAAATGAGAAAAGCACTGTAGTGTAATAGAAAGAATGCTGAACCAGGAATTGCCCTGTATCTACCAATTAACCCATATCACTTAACTTTGATAGACCTAGGTTTCCTCTTTAATTGGTACTCATGGCTTGGCTCTCTACAGAAGGAGACAGTGTCCTTGGAGCATTTTTTAGTCATTATGATTAAAATAACCTAAATGGACTCTACCCATAATGTAGTGGGGGAGGTCAGTGTGTTGGATTGCCCTGGGTGAAAGCTGCAATGGTACATTTTGATATAATGAAATGTAATATGATAAAAGCATAATCTCTTAAATTTCTTCCAATTCTAAAATGCTACTATTTTATTATGAAGATAAGAGTAACTTGTCAGCAAACTTGAACCTTTGGACCCATACATTCTTGAACAAGAACATCTTGACTTATAGTACTTGGCACAAAGGAGTCTTGAACACTTGGTGTGTTCAGGTAATTAAAGAACAGGTGCTTACAGAATGATAGCTTGTTATTTGGTTCTTGACATGTTACATTTACTTGAACTTGTATTTTTGCCTTGGATTTTTCAATAGCAGTGCACATTTCTAGCCATATTTAGGGCATGCCTTGACAGTGACCAAAATGCTAATTATCTATAAATATTCAAATCAAAAAAGAGAAAAGCTTCTCACTACATGACTAGCTTATTTATTAGATTTATTTTAGTAGGTAAGTTCTATGAAGGTAGAGATTTTTCCCTTTATTTTGTTCATTGATATATAACAGGCACCCAAAACAGGTACCTGAAACAAAAAAAGGTACTCAGTAAATATTGAATGAAAAAAATAATAAACTACATTTAAACATATAAAATGCTAAAAATGTGTTGTTCTTTCTTTCCCTCCCAGAATAATGAGTTGTGTGTATTACTTTAGTATCTAATAGTTAACACTCCCTCCTTAAGAAAAAACTAAATTCCAGATAGGGACTACTTTTTCAATCTGGATCCTGGGATGAGAAGATGCGTGGAAAAGACCTGGAGCTGACTTGCAGTTACCAGTTGTAAGTTCAGTAACAATGAACTGCTGCTATTGTAAGCCAATGAGGTTTTCTTACGTCTTTTTTTTTTTATGTATAGTTGATATACAATCTTAGGTTGATTTCAAGTATACAACACAAGGGTTCAACAGGTACCCACATTATTAAACCCCTAGTGCAGTTACTATCTGTCAACATAGGAAGATCTTACAGAATAATTGACTATATCCTCCAGGCTATACTATTATCCTGTGACCAATTTATATTATGGTTGAGAATTTTTTGCCCCTTTATCTGCTTCCCCCACCCCACCCATCCACTCCAACCCCTCCTCCACGGTAACCACCAGTCCCTTCTCAGTGTCTTTGAGTCCACTGCTGTTTGGTTCATTTTGTTTTGTTTTGTTTTTAGATTCCACAAATAAGTGAGATCATATGGTATTTTTCTTTCTCTTCCTGGCAAGCCAATGAGACTTGATGGTTGTTTATTATCTCGCCATAACCTGGTGAAAGCCTATATGGATGTTGGAGAAACGTATCAAAGTTAACATGTAAAAATGAAATTTTTTCAAAAATTAGAGTTTGTTTTTTTTATAGAATTATTAAAGCTGAATTACAGAAGGTGAGGGACACAAGGTTCACAAAAGATAAATATCCTCTGGTACGATTTTAAGATTGTAAATTATCCATGTTCTCAGCTGTGTGCCCAGGATGGCTGAAACAGAATAAAGGCTCAGTGGATGTTTGATGCTTGAGCAAATGCAAATTCAATCTTTATTTTGCTTTTTTTGTGGTAGGGGGCAGGGGGAAGTTAGAGGAGGGTTATTGGGAAAAAAGCATGTGGAGAATAGTGGCAGACTGCAACAATGTTAATACATTTTGGTATATAATATCTTTTTGCCTTCTACCTACCTACAGAAGTAAGGGAGGGAGAAAACAGGCAGTGGACATCAGAGAGTTCATCTGATAGTCGCTATTGACAACTTCTGACTCATTATGGCCTTTAAGGAATAGTTTATTTTTGGGAAACAGGTAGTTAACTTTTAATTTCATTTTAATCCATTTATTCACTTAGCATATTTACTGAGAATCCACTATGTGTTAGATACAGTATGAGGATACAGTATGAGCTATACTCGTAAGATTTCACTAGGTCTTCCTCAAAATCCACATATGCATGTGATCTGTTTACCCCAAATTATTCTGCAAATTTTCATATCCAACATCCCTGCTGCAAACACAATTTAAATTTATCCTCAGTACAATATGACATCCTTTGTCATCCGCCTTCCCAGAAGAAGCATACTAGTGAGAGGTATAGTAGTAGGGGAGGGAGCAGGGACATAAAAGCAGTGCATCCATAAGCACATTCTAGCAAAGTAGCATCTTAGCTGTAATTGTCAGCAAGATAATATATTGACATGAGAGTTGTTTACAGGAAGCAATGTGAAATATGCTAAAGAGTGGCACCCCTTTTACATGCTCACTTCCCTTGTACCCGACCCCCATCTCAAGTCACAACTTTAGGCTTGTTCCCCATGATATTCAGGCCCAGCTTTATCTTGCTCGCCACTTCCCACCCTCTGGGCCCACTGCAAAATATGCTTTAAATCAAAGCTGAACTAATCTCTCATTGACATTCAGGTAAATTGCAGCTTTCAACAATAAATAACAACCATACACACAGGAAAACAAAACTTTTCCTCACATAGCTCATGCTTTGGGAGTAAATAGGAGTGGTGGACTGCAAGGCTGTTTGATCTACTGGTTCAGTTATGCATCTAAAACCTCAGGTTCTTTCCATCTTTTTTCTCTGCCATTTATAGTTTCATCTCAAAGCTGGTCTTAGGATAACTGTCAGTTACAATTGCCATTGCATGCTTCTTTGTTCACATCCTGTGAAAAGAGGAGCCTACTGTTGTAGGGTTGCTCTTAACAGTGAGAAATATTTTCCAGAGCTCCCAAAAAACTTCATCAACAAAAGTGGTCATATGCTTATCTCTGAACAAGACCAAGTTGGGGGAATTCCATGTGCTTTTTGTTTTAGCTTGTAGCTTGGTTATGTTTAGCAACTCAAAACAAGGATTTTGGGACCACCAGACTGGCTTAGACCAATCAATCCTAAACCCCATGAAGGATGGGGGAAATGGAAGAATAATGGAGAAGTGGTGTAATGCATGTCGAGAAGACAACTAGAATTTAATTATTAGTTAAGCGCCACAATTTCCACTAGGTAGAACACATTTCTTATTTAAAAATCCCAAGTTTCAGTCTCAAGTGAGGAAAAGTACACATACCTTGACACCAGCCAGATACTGCACTTACTAGTTAGGCAATGTTGGATGTTTTACTCACTGAGCCTTTTCTTGCATCTATAAAATGGGGAGAGTGGCTAGCTCACAGGATTGCTGCAAAGATTTGTGTAAAAAAAGTAAATTATAAAGCTACTTGGTAACTGTTGGTTTCATTTGTGGTAATTCTTGTCTTTACTTCAAGAACAGCAGAAAATGAGCCCAAAGATTCTTCCAACCTGCTGCTTACGCAGAAGCTAACAGGTAGACATCAGTCATTAAGGCTTTCCAATGTTAAGTTCATCTCTATTTAATGAATAATAACATGACTTTTTTAAATGAAAAAATGTGTAAGAAGTACAAGGGAAATGTTCGGAGAGAAAAGCGAAGTGCTAAGGAAAAAGAGGAAGTCCTAAGAAGGACATTCTGAAGGCCTTTACAATTTCCTTGTCTGCACTTTTAGATTTTCTGGTTTTAAACAAACTGATTACAATGAGGATTAGAGTAGTTTTTCTTGTTTCTCATGCTTCTCTGTGATTCTTGAAGCTGTAGGTTTATAGTTTTTATCAAATTTGGTAATTTCCATAGTTTCTTCCTATATTGTTTTGTACCTCTTCACTTCTTCACTCCTGAAGAGTCTCTAATTACATACGTATCAGGCACAGTTGTTTGGCAGCACAGATGGTCTTTTCCTTATAAATTATTTTTTCTATATTTTGCTATGAATAGTTGTCATTGGTATGTCTTCAAGTTTACTGATCTTTTCTTCTGCAATGTCTAATCTCCCATTCATGCCATTCACTGTATTTATCATTTCACATATTGTAGTTTTCATTTCTGTAAGTTGGATTTGGGTCTTCTTTGTATCTTCCTTGTCTCTATTTAACTTTCTGAACATACTGAATATATTTATAAAAATTTCTCTAATGTCTTTGCCTGCTAAGTTTAACTTGTATGTTACTTCGGAGGGGTTTTTTTCCCCTCCTCATCATAGGTATTTCCCTATTTCCTTCATGTCTGACAATCTTTAACTGTGTGCCAAACATTGTGAATTTTGCCTTCTTCAGTACTGGCTATTTTTTATTCCTGTACATAGTCTTTAGGCCTGTTGTGGAATGCAACTGAATTACTTGAAAACAATTGCATTGTTCAAATTAATTGAAAAAAGTCTTAATTGAAAAGTTAAATTACTTGAAAACAATTGTATTGTTACAATACAAATTAATTGAACAATTAAATGGAAAAAAAAGTCTTGCTTTAAGATTTATTGGGATCAATGCAGCAGAGTAATTAT